CCGCCAGGCTCCGGCTCCGGATCCGCGCGCCGCGGCCGGCGCCTCCAGTCCGGGTCTTGGCGGGACCCCTCCTCCCTCCCGCTCCCCGCGCTCTCGCCTTTTAATCATGCCCCTCTGTCTGTGTGTGAGTGCAGGCAGGCTGACAATGATTTCCTCAGTGATTACGTACAGAGCGAGTCCCTGCGGGTTAGGGGCCCCCTCTGGAGCCATCCTGATGGCTTTGGGGGCCTTGCTTCCATTTTCCATTATTATGTGGACTACCGGAGCGACAGCGCAGTCCAAGACCTTGCAGGTTTGTGATGAGGAGGGAGCACGCAGCACACTCCTTCTCCTCCTCCTGCTCGCGGCTCTCCTCCTCCTCCTCCTCCTCCTCCTGCTCTCGCCGCCGCCGCCGCCGCTGCCTCCGCTCCCGCCGTCGCCGAGGCGGCCGAGACTTTAGAGCCCGGGTCCGGCGCCCGCCAGCCCGCGAGGGGCGCCCGGCCGCCTGCGCCCCGCACGCGCGCCTGCCCCGCACCGCCCGAGGCCGCCGGGGGCCCAGGCTGCCTTTTCTTTTTAGAAATTACTTTAGTGTGGGTTAAAAAAAAAAAAAAGAAAGAAAAGAAAGAAAGAAAAGAAAAGAAAAGAAAAAAAAGAAAGGAGGGGAAGGAAGAGAAAAAAAAAGAATTTTCCCCTTTGGCTTCTTTGCGTTGCCCACCGCATCTGCCTTCTGGGTCGTGGGAGATTCTGCTTTGCAAGACCTTTGCATCGCCCCGCAGGGTGGATTCGGCCCCTCCAACCACCCGCTCTCCCAAACTACAAAAGAGCACGACTGGCTTTGTAAACAAATCGGTGTATTAGAAGGGCTTCCTTTTTTTTTTTTTTTTAGAAGGGGGGGGTATTCCTGTTGAAAAGTGGTAAAAAAAAAAAATCACCCAGATGCTTTTCTTTTCATTAGTGTTTTTTTCCTATTCCAATGAACTATGTGAATATTTACTGACCTGGAACTAGTAAAGGATTTTTGCTTTTTAGTGTATCTGACGGCTCTTGAAACATTATCTTGTAATTTTTTCAGCTTTCCCCCTTTTTTTCTTCTTCTTCTTTTTTTTTTTTTTGAGGCTGGGGGTGGGGGGCGAAGGCTGGGAAAGTTTGCTGCAGCCGCCTGCGGAGCCCGGGAGCCTCGAGCCCCGCGCGCGGGCGCGAGTCGGAGCGGAGCGGAGCGGAGCGCGGGGCCCGGGCGCGAGGGAGGCCGAGCCGAGGGCGCGAGGAAGTGTAGTTTCTTACAGGGCTGCATTGAAACAACTTCAGCTGTTTGCTTTTAGGATGTCTCGCCGCAAGCAAGCGAAACCGAGATCCCTCAAAGGTAAGGAGGACCCCCCCCCGCCGCCTTCCCCCATCCGCGAGTGTCGCTGTGGGTAGCGGAGCGGGACTGCGTGGCCGCGAGGCGGGGGCGCGCGTGAGTGAGTGCGGGGGCGCGCGCTCCCCTCCCCTGCCGAGCCCCCAGGTGGAGCGAGGGGTGGGGGAGACAGACGGAGACGGGAGGATCCCCAGATGGGGCAGCTGTGCCAAGTGAGCCAGAAAAGACCCCCCCCCCAATCCGAAAAAAATGAAAGATACGAAATCATCTTGATCTGGAAGGGGGACGGAAAAAACAGCCATCCCCCGTTTGCGATCTACATCTGGGCTGGAGGGAAAAGTTTCTGTTGCTGTGTTTACGCAAAGAATAAATATGCAAAACCGTGCAGTGCTTCTTTTTTCCTTTCTTTGGAAGAAGAAAAAAAAAAAAGTCATCTCAGAGAGGGGGGGCGGCCCCTGATCTGAGAAACGTGGCCCAGGGTCCCGGCCGCGCCCCGCGCTCGGGTTTGGCCCCGCGCCGCGGTGTAAACAAACCGGGCCGGGTCGGGCCGGGCGGCGGCGGGGGGTGGGGGGCGGGCTCCGAACCCCAACCCCGAGCCGGGCCCGGAAAGTTGGTGCCCTGGCCGCGCTCCTCCTCGCGGTCCCTGGCAGCCCTTTGGCTTAGTGGAGGGGTGTAGCTCCCTTCGTCCCGGGTGGAGAGGGAAGTGTGCGGGCGCGCCCGTGGGTCTGGGGTACACTCTCCGGCGGCGGCGGGGTGAGGGCGGGGGCGCTGAAGTTATCGATCCCCGCGGCTGTGGTGGAATGTGGCGAGGAGAGTCACGTGGCGGCCTCCTCCTCCTCCTCCTCCTCCTCCTCCTCCGCCTCCGCCTCCGCCTCCTCCTTTTAAATGCTTTTTCTGCATCTTTTGGGATGATTCCGCAGCGTTGTGCTTCATTGTATTCCTACAGTGAATGACAGTGATTGATTGTGGAGAAACAGCTGTACAAGATATAATTCAGCAGCATGGGATTCTCAGACTGAGGCAACTTCAGCATTTTTTGATTGCGTTAACCGAGCCGTGCTAGCACCAGCGGTCGATTTTGGAGCATTTTCCTCCCCCGAGAAGGAAGCTTTGGCTCCTTGCAGTCGTCCCAGGCCTCCCTCCCATCACCCCAGCCCTGGCCGCCGCTCACTCCCTGTTTCTTTCCACTCACGCATGACTCTCCGCTCCATCTCCATGCTCGCTGCTCTCTCTGTTCCGTGCTGTTTTCTGCCCCATCCCCCTGGCTGGTGGCCCTCACACTGCACAGCAGACTGGATGAGCTCCCTGGCTCCACACACGGCCACTCGGGCTCCGAGAAGAGAGGCAGGGCTCTGGTGGGGCTGGTGTTCTAAATAGGGGCAGAGGGGGCTTTGGATGCAGGGGAGGAGAGGGTGCCTGGCTCACTCCCAAGGGCTGGGATTGCCTGAGTCAATGCCCATGCACCACAGACCCCCCCACGTGTCTAGGGACCCAGCCACCCCCCACCCATCCATCCACCCCTCAGCCAC